AAACGTACTAAAACATTAAAAAAATCAAAAAAATAAAAATAAAATAATTAGAAAACAAAAATAAATAAATAAATAATGAAAACAAAATATAAAAACTAAAAACCAAGTGCATGTCGCTTTAAAAAGGTTTTTTTTTAAATATATTTTTTAATAAAAAAAACCGATAAAAATATATAAAAACTGAGTAACCAAGAATGTGTTTATCTGTAAAAGATATAGTTTAGAAAAAATTAAAAGATGGAAATAAATAATTAAAGAAAAAAAAGTCATTTAAATGACGTTTCATGGACATTCATCGCGCATGATTATTTTTTCGACTTCGTATTACGTTCCACGGACGTGCGTTACATTCGAACACGCCACAACCAGGTAATTGGGTTGGACGTTTGTGTCATTGACGAAATGGATAAGGTAGAACTGTCCACGCGGTTCCTACCAGATCTGGACTCTCTCTCTCTCTCTCTCTATATATATATATATATATATATCTATATATATATATATATATTATATATATATATATATATATATATATATATATATTGATGAGTTTTGAGCACTACATCATTCCTATGGTGTACATGCAAACCCTAAAGCTTTGGATCTAGTTTGTCTAATGAACATACAATAATCATCCAAAGCCATAAACCCTAGATCTAGCATGTGATAATCGATATTAACATAAGAATAGGGTTTAGATCTTACCTTGATTGTTATGTAGCAATAACAATCTCAAATCCTCCTTGTAATTGGCTTCTGAAAGCTTAGTGTCACAAATGTCACACCTCTAATGGCTCACAAACACCAAGAGCAAGAGGAAGACTTAGGATAAGAGAAGGAGGCACCGAAAACGTCCAAGAAACCCTAAGGAACACTTAGCCACGTTTTTGGGTGCCCTAGGGGTCATTATATAGTGAGGCCATTAGGGTTTTGAACTAGGAAACCCTAATCTGGCTGCTTAGGCCCTAAGCAGCCCATGGACTCCCTCCTTAGAGGCCTTGGACAAATTCTCATGGGTTTCCCCATAGATTTCGTCCACTCTATCCTTTATGGAGTCCATTAGCCCAATATCCAACTATCACACAATTGACAGTTCTAGTCCCCTTTATTTAACTAATGTCTTTTAGCCACAAAATTAATTCTTATTAATTTTTGACTAATATTAATTAAACAATATGATTTCTCTTATAATATATTATTCACATAATATATTAATAAATCATAATTAATCTCTTTCTCCACAAATCATCCTATCAAGTTGCTTTGATGAAGGCAACCCAAAAGGACCATGCTCACAATTGGGTCAAAGACATACCAAAATAGTTATGGACTTAGACACTAATCCAACATATATATATATATATATATATATATATATATATATAGGGTTGAGTTTGGTTGAGAACTCATCGTTTCCCGAGAACCTAAGAACTAAAGGTGGAGTGTTGGATCAAAATCAAATCATTAAGGGCATGATCGTCATCATACCAATCCCACTTAATTTTTTGTATTATTGGAAATATTAATAAAAAAACTCTCAAATTAACAATATAAAACAAAATTTTGGATTTTTTTATAAAAAAAATAATATTCGTTTTTTTTTAAACTGCAGATTTTTTTAACTTTTTTTGGAAAGCATAAATTTTTAAAAAATTTGAATTTTTTTTTTTAAAAACTGCAATTTTTTCAAAAAAAAAATCTGTAATTTTTTTTTAAAAAAAACTGTATTTTAAAAAACTGCAAATTTTTTAATAAAACAATAATTTTAAAAAAAACTGTAATTTTTTCAAAAAAAATGCATTCTTTTCTAAAATACTGCAATTTTTTTTCAAAAAAAGTGCAACTTTTTCAAAAAAAACTGCAATTTTTTTTAATAAAGCTGCATTTTTAAAAAATATATATAAATTTTTAAAAATCAGTAAATTTATATAAAAAAACTAGAATATTTAAAAAAAAACTCTAATTTTTTTAACAAAAAAATCAACATTTTAGGTGCATATATTCATATTTTTTTCAAATGAATATATGCATATTTCTTATACTATAATATTCGTAAGTAAATCATAAAAATCTCAATTTTATTAATCAATCTATAAACATAATAGTACAAGTATTTTATTCGATACAAAATAAAATATAAAAAATAAAAAATGCTACGAAGATTCACAATGTTATCATTTCTTCATGTCAAGATTTTCATATTTTCTTCAATTTATCACTTTTCACTTCTTCAATATTTTCCACAAATTTTTCAAAATCTACAAGAAAATTAAAAAAATTTGATTAATGCAAGAACACTCACAAAATGCACATGCATATATCATATAAGATTTACATGTGATTCATATGTGAATTACATGTGATTTACATGTGAATCACATGTAATTCATATGTGAGTTACACGTTATTTACATGTAAATCACATGTAATTCTTATGTGATTAACTTGTGATCTAAATGTGATTCACATGTAATTCATATGTGAATCACTTGTGATTCATACGTAACTCATATGGGATTCACTTGTGATTTACATGTGAACCACATGTGATTTAAATATGAATCATGTAATTTATATGTGATTCACTTGTAATTTACATGTGAATCATGTAATTCATATGTGGTTCACTTGTGATTTACATGTGAACCACATGTGATTTATATGTGAATCATGTAATTCATACGTGATTCACTTGTGATTTACATGTGAATCACATGTGATTTACATGTGAATCACATGTGATTTACATGTGAATCACATGTAATTCATATATGATTCACTTGTGATTTACATGTGAGTCACATGTGATTTACATGTGAATCACATGTAACTTACATGTGAATCACATATGAATTACATGTGATTCACATGTAAATCACATGTAATCAGAAGACTAAAATATCCCTATAAGAAATTAAAGTTATGAAACTATTTGAAAGAGACTATAAGTGAAAATGAACTTTTACAAAATGGCAGGTGATATAATTTCTCCCTTAGTTAAAACATTTTTCAATTTTGGTCCCTCGGGCTTTTTATGATTGTGTTCTTCATTTCAAACTTTCAGGGACCAGAACCGATATGAAACCTTGAAAAAAGGACCAAAAGTAATAAAAGTTTCAATTTTTGACAAAAAAACTGTTAAATTCAAAAAAAGTACAGGGGCCATTTTATTAAATATTGCATTTAGAGCTAACACTTACAGCAAGGAAGTAACCATTTTCTGAAAATGATATTGCAGTAACAGCCCCAACATGCCCATCAAACCTTGCAACATTTGCCTACAAAAATCAAATGATATAAGATACAGAAAAACAATGAACCAGGGGCAGTTTTGGAATTTTACCCGACTCTTCACATCCCAGATTTTAACAATACCAGTTCCTAGAATGAGACCATCAGGATGAAAAGTTGTAGATGTGTAGCCAAAACATGTTTATGTGTCCAAAACAGGAAGAAAAGGGATATTTTGAAGGGAAAATGTGTCCAAAACAGGGTCAAATCGGTTCAGGGGCAAAATGGCAGGAACTTTTACAAAGAAAAAGAAGTGCAAGAATTATATATATCATATCACACTTATAAGATTTATACACTAGACCCTTCACCTACTACATGCTCATCTCTACTGCTAGATTAGTGAATCCAAGTGATCAGTTATCACATAAACGAACTTAATCGATTTAAAGAGCACAATATCACTATATGATAATTGATAAAAGTTCAGAACTTAATCGTTGAAAAAGAAAAGAAGTAACACATGTAACAAGAACTAAGTGCTAGATATCAAGGAATTTATGTTTCTATCAGTTCACAATACCTTCTAATTGCAATTACATTTGAGAAATTGTCTTAATGAAGACTCTGTCACTCAATTAATCGATTAAAATAAATAGAATAAAATAGATTTATACCATAGGAAAGAGAAATCTTTGCGACTTGATCAATCGAGGAAGAAGACACGAGAACGAGATATTTACCACTGGAAGGAGAGATCGTCGCCTACTGTCGATTTAAGATCTGTAGCTGTGTACGTTTTTGGTGAGATCAGAAGGTATCAAAAAATCGATCCATCGGAGGAGCTGTAATACTCGATTGACATAGGATCATCTTCTCCAACCGGACATTCGATTGGATCTCTATACGATCGATTCCACTCCAACTGGACATTCGATAGGACTGTCTTCTCCAAATCGACAAGTCAAGATCAGATTCAGAAGAAAACGACCGACCTAATGCTTCTTTGTAGACGATCTGCATAGGTTCCGATGAATTATATGCTTCAGTTCTTCACATCATGTCACACTTCAATGACGATTTTAGGATTTGAGATCGGGGGTGTGATGAAGGGTAGAGAGAGAGAGAAAAAAAAAGAGATAGATAGAGAGAGAGAGATGGCATAAAGAGTTGACGTGATTAAATGTCCCTAAAATGTCCCTGATTTATTTTAATAAGATGCCCTCGCCCCATTTTATTTTCAGATATTTACGAAAATGTCACGAAGCATCCTAACCTTCTATTATTTTAATCTAACGGTTATTGTTTAGTTCTCGGGTTCTCGGAAATTATAAGTTCTCAAATGATCTTTCCTCTCTCTCTCTCTCTCTCTCTATATATATATATATATATATATATATATATATATATATATATATATATATATATATATATATATATATATGTTCAAATGTGGATTGACAAATATTATGTGGATGTATGGATTCATATGAGTCAATCATTTTAAAAACCTAATAAAATATATATTAATAATTATTCTTAATTAATAATGTTAATTATCTATTTCACTTATGTCAATCACAAACTTTTTTTTTTGGGAAAAATACAATTAACATCCAAAAGATGAGTACGAAGCCAAATTTGCGAAAATGAATCCTCCTCATGATTATCCATAATCATATAAAGGAAACAACACTCATAAATGTTTGGCCTAAAAATCTATTTGATTTTTCCATTGAAATCATCTACCACCTTCAAAAGATAACACAATGAACCGAGGAGACAAGGAGTGGACGGAAGTCCAGCAAAGGAAGGGACCAACACATTCAGGCAACGAGAGCGATGTCAACAGGAACGAGATCAAAAAAGCGTTTGCAAGGCATGGAACAGTATCGGATGTGTTCTTTCCAGGAAAGAAAGGAAGGAATGGTTCGTACTACCTATTTATTAGATACCTGGGGGTTAAAGATACTCACAAGTTGGAAAAGGCAATTGATGGTACCATATACAGGGGGAGAAAGCTATCGGTTAACCTGGATAAGTATCGGCGCAAAGAAAATACGTGTGCTCAAGCTCCACGCTCAGGTCGTAACAATGGCGGAACCACTGCCAACCAAACTCCTGGATTCAGAGATAGAAGAAATTTTGCAGAAGTTGTAAGACCCATACCTCCTTCTCAACCGACATCATCCATGCAAAAGCCAACCATTATTCTCCAACCCGATCCTGAGACGGACTCCAGACTTAGGAAGTCCACACTAGTTGGTGAAGCTCTATCATTAGCACACCTAGGGCACATGAAATCTCTTCTATCCATCAAAGAGATCCCGAACTTCGAGATCAAGTACATTGGCGGTCATAAGGTACTTCTTGTCTTCGATCACTCAGTCGGGGCCAAAGAATTCATGGAGAACTGTGACAGATGGAAAGAATACATGAAGTGGGTAAAACTAGATGCGGTGGCTGACTCGATGAAATACGATAGAGTAGCATGGATCAGAATAGTGGGGCTCCCCTTACGATACTGGGGGGAGAAGAATTTTTTAGCCATCACAGCCCCATTTGGTGAAACCATTGCTCCATATGATGATCTTCCAAATCGAGTGGACATGTCATGTGTCAAAATTGGAATTCTAACTGAGATCAGGAAAAGCATAAATGATGAAATTATGATTTCAATCGATGGCGAACTAACCAAGATCGGAATTATTGAGTTCGACGAAGACTATTTTCCATTTCGTTTCAACTCTGTAACAAACCCATACGAATCGGAAGATGAAAATGATGAGACGGAGGACGGAGTGTCAGACACCTGGATGCAAGATGAAAAGGATGAAGCTCTAGAAGACGGTGAAATTGATATGCGAACAGAAAATATCGAGACAATGTTTTGTAATGAGACCGTCGGCATCGGTGGTGTCGACGACGACCGAAGAACCGAAAGAATACAAAACTCCGGTGGAGAAGATCCGGCAGGAGTAACCCATACGACGTACGCAACCCCTCCCCACATGCTTGCAGTTGAATCGTCGCCTAGGGAAGTCGCCCACATAAAACCTAACGGTAAAGGAATTTTGGGAAACTCCCCTAATAAATATGTTGGGTCAACAGAAGCCAATAAACAAAAAAATCAAAATGGGGCCACCATTACTAGCTGGTGCGATGTACCTAACAGACTACCTAATGTTGGATGTTTCAGACCTTTTCCATCCAATTAAGCCCAATATCCAATTGTTGATCAATTTAACACGGGCAACTCAACACTAAAACGTCGCCGGATTGATATTGAAGCTACTAGATTTTCTACCCACCTTATATCCCCAATGTCTAACCTAGACGAACCGGATGAATCAAATATGGAGAATTTAACCATATTCACTACTACTCCAGTGGAAATTGGCGATGAAAATTTATCAATTGATCTCAATCGTGAGGAGATGAATTCAATGGATAAGCGATTGGATGCGGAATCAAGTATATGTGTCTCATCTTCTGATGAAGCTGAAAGAACAGTGGATATTGGTAACAAATTAGGCTTTGGACTTGATATGACTAACCCCATATTAGCTGAAGCTCTGGGTGAATCTGGTGTCGTCAAACCTGCCCAATGAATTGGATGTCACTAAACATTAGAGGTATGGGGGAGGAGCCTAAGATCACATGGGCTAGGAGATTAAAAATCAAGCACCGACTCTCATTTATGGGTATACATGCGACACAAATAATAGATTCTGATAACATCAATGTTGGGGGATGTTGGGACTCTAACAACTTTGGCTATGAAGTAGTAAATTCAAGTGGAAGATCAGGAGGAATTCTCGGTATTTGGGACAATAGCATGTACGACGTCAATGAAGCTATCAAAAGCTGGCATTACTTAATCACAATTGGGCATTGGAAGGGCATTCAAGGGAATACGGTGTTTGCTAATATCTATGGTCCACACACTCAAGCCAACAAAGTGAAACTATGGGAGGATTTAAGTAAACTAAAAATTGAAATACAAGGGACTTGGATTATTTTCGGCGACTTCAACGTGGTACGACGTCCTGAAGAAAGACTCAATTCTCACTTTTGCCAATCCAGTGCTCGAAGCTTCAACCTATTTATCCAAAACGCTGAGCTTCATGACCTCAGGATGGGTGGTCATCGATTCACGTTTTTTTGTCAAGTAGATTTGAAACTCAGTAAACTTGATAGATATCTGGTTTGCTCAAACTTCATCAACTCCTTTCCCCCTGTAAGTGTAACTGCTCTTCCTAGAGAGATATCTGATCATTGCCCTCTGCTCCTTTCTACTACTTATCTTGACTTCGGGCCAAGTCCATTCCGATTCTTTAATGGGTGGTTACAACGAGACGGTTTTGAATCATTGGTGGTTAACACTTAGACAAACTTCAAAGGATATGGTACCCCAGATGCATACTTGGCAGCCAAGTTCAGGCATCTAAAAGAGGAAATAAAAAAATGGCGATGCACAACCTTCCCAAAAGAACAAGCTGATCTAAGACAACTCAAAATACGAGTAGATAATCTAGACACATTTGCAAAGTCTAGAATTCTTACGGAGGTAGAATTGAATGAACGCAAAGTGGGGCACCAAAGAATTGCTGAAATAGAGAAAATGGTAGCCCTTGATCTCAAACAGAAGTCACGAATTAGATGGGCAGTGGACGGAGATGAAAACACCCATTTTTTTCATGGCTACATAAATAATAGGAACAGGAAAAACAATATTAATGGCCTAGTGATCAACGATATATGGAGTTCGGATGCAAATGAGATTAAGACTGAGGCGTACCGGTTTTACAAGAACAAGTTTCAGGAAAGATGGCCCTCAAGACCGAAATTAATCAGCAACAAATTTCGGACTCTTTCTGCCACCGATAACACCACCTTGGAAGCTAAATTCACGAAAACGGTAAAAATACATACGAAAACGGAGTCCGTATGAAGGAGTTACGAATTCTTCGCGGTCATTTAGCAGTCTAATCTCCTCGTACTGTTAAATTTAATATCGGTCGAGAATTAGCCGACGGAGTCTAAATAAAAGTTGTAGATCTTGTTTTTACCTACACATGGAAAAAAAGAACGTCGAAAACGGAGCTCGTATGCGAAAGTTACGGGGTTTAGAAGTCGACAGGATGCTGCTGCAAAAAGGGTGACGTGGCTGAATATGGGCCAAGGCTTTCTCCCCAAGGAAAGCCATCAGGTGATGACACGTGGCACCGACTCGGCGAGTCCGTGAACCGACTCGGCGAGTCCGTCAGGATTTCACCCTATAAATAGAGGTGCCGGGTTCCCTCATTTCCTCACCCCTCAACCTTCTTCTTTCTCTCTCTATACTCTCTCTCTAAGCTCCCTAACCCCCCTAAAAGCCTAGGTAAACTCCCTAGCACCCGAAGGAATCCCCGAGGCTCCCGGAGTCCCGAGAAAAAGGGTCTTTCGGCTTGGAAACGCTGCTCCAGCGAAGCCCGGTTTTGCGAAAAACCCGCTGTAAGTGAGCTACGCCTACGCTATTTTTAATATAGCTTCTAATTAATTATAGTAACATTATTAGGACCTTAAAATAATTATTTGGGCTATTATTATGAGTTATATAGTGTTGTTTAACGCTTATATAATAATAATAACAGCTAGACTATTAAATTAGTCTCGGTAAATATTGAACTAAACCCTAGTGGTAATGATACTAGGTTTTGTCGAGGGAAATTGTTTTAAGAGTAACGAAGTGCTGTCCAAGTACCGAGTCACCACCGTATCAGGTGAGTGCATAGTCCCTTTCATGAACATGATTTTAATAAAAGTATTGATTGAAGTATTAATTATATGTTTATGTGCGAGTTAATTGATGTTGCCTGAAATACGTGTTAAAGAACATACCTGATTATATATGATGATTTAGGATAAAGGGTAGACCTAAATTAATTATGAGGAATATTGGTAGTATTTTCTTACGAGTACAAGTGAGTTATACTCAGAGAATAGAACTTTAGTATATGTCATTTATCCGGGAGCATGGATTAGACACAGTCATTGTCCCTAGTCGAGAGTATGGATGGGACATAGTCAACTGTCATTAATTCGGGGGTATGAATTAAGACATAGTCAGTTGTCCTTAGTCCGGGAGTATGGAGTAAGACATAGTCATTCGTCCCTAGTCCGAGAGTATGGATTAGGCATAGTCATTCGTCATTAATCCGAGAGTATGGATTAGTCATTCGTCCCTAGTCCGAGAGTATGGATTAGACATAACCATTCGTCATTAATCTGAGAGTATGGATTAGGTAAAGCCGTTCATTTCTGATCCGGGAGTATGGATTAGGTAAAAACGGTTAAACTTAGGTTTGTAGAGTATGGATAGTCTCGTTGTGAGGATCGACGGGGTGGGATAAGAGTTGCTTATACATACATGGTGAAATTGTATATTTTGTGAGTTCTAAATTATATATATGATATAACATTGTGGGATTGAAATCCCTATGTACTCACCAGGTTTCCCAACCTGACCCACTCAGTTTATTTGTATCACATGTGTCGATACGAAGCTACTTTACACTGAGAGATTTAAAAGAGATGTAGATCACTAGTGTAAATAAATGTAAGTTCTGTTTATGCTTATGTTTGTGTATGACAATGACATCCCAAATGTTTTAAAATGAATAAAAATACTTTTCTTCGGAAATGCTTTGATAACGTATTTATCATGTTTTACTGGGAACAAATTCCGCAACATTTTTATTAAAAGAGGTACTCTGATTTTTATAAAGCATAAACAAAATCGGTCTTTTCTAGCCGTGAAAATGGGGATGTCACACAAATGGGGTATGGTGAAAAATGGAGAGGAATTGGATCAAAGGCTGCCTTGGATCCTCAAGGTCTTCGATACTTGTGAATGGAGCTCCAACTGAAGAATTCTTATTAGAAAAAGGGGTGATACAAGGCGATCCTCTCTCCCCCTTTCTCTTTATCATCGCAATGGAGGGGCTAAACATAGCCATGGAAACCGCCTGTGAGAAAGGGATCTTCCATGGCCTTAAAATACCACACTCTGATATCACGGTTTCACACCAATTTTACGCAGACGATGCACTTTTTTATGGGAGAATGGGAAAAAAGCAACATTATGAACCTTGCGCGAATACTTAGGTGCTTTTATATCTCATCTGGACTTAAGGTCAATTTTCAAAAATCAAAAGTTTTTGGTATCGACTCTTCTATACAGGAAACTTCACGTTGGGCAGCCCCTCTCGATTGTGAACCGGCATGTCTCCCGTTTACCTACCTCGGCGTACCTGTTGGAGCCAACATGAACCTTCAGAGACATTGGCAACCAATCATCGAGCGGTTTCACTCTAAACTAACATCTTGGAAGGCAAAAACGTTATCATTTAGAGGTATACTCACTCTGATCAAATCGGTCCTAGGCAGTCTCCCTACATACTTCTTTTCAATATTTGTGGCACCAATGGGAGTCATCAATACACTAGAAAAGATTAGGCGAAAATTCTTATGGGGAGAAACGGAAGGTAATAAGAAAATCAATTGGGTAGCATAGGAGAAAATAATTACACATAAAGATGCAGGTGGACTTGGATTGGGTTCTCTTCGGGCTCTAAATCTATCCCTCATTACAAAATGGTGGTGGCGTTACAGGAAAAGACTTCACTGGATTTTGGTGTCGAATTATACAGGGACTACACAATCTTCATGACAAACCAGATACTTGTATTGCAAAACGTACCATTAGTGGAGTTTGGAAAAACATCGCCTCGGTTGACAAAAACCTAGAGAAAGTGGGGGTACCAATGACAGATATCTTGAAAAAACATGTTAATGCAGGAAACCAAACACTGTTTTGGTTGGACGTGTGGATTGAAAGTGACACATTCAAAACTAGATTTCCAAACCTTTATAAGCTGGAAAAAACAAAAAGATGCAAGGTGATGGATAGAGTGAAGCTTGGTGGGCTAGTATGGGATTGGAGATCACACCCAAACTCCAACGAACAGCTAACTGAACTTGCAGTCCTATCTTCCATTATTGGCACATTTCAACCATCTACTAGACCAGACCATTGGTCATGTGATTTATCATCAGATGGGGAATTCTATGTGAACTCACTAAGACGAAAGATTGATTGGCCTGTGAACTCGACACCCACAACTAATGTTGAGTGGTTGAATGAAATTCCTATAAAAGTGTTATGTTTTGTCTG